TGCTGAACTCATGTGTTAGTCCCATGTACAATCCACCTGGATTTGGTTGGAGCTAAGTCTCTCATTAGCTGTGGTGCACTTAAGAGACCAAAACCCCTTTTGACAGTTAAATTGGTCAGATTGCCTCCTGTTTTCCTCATCATTGCGAGGGTGCAGACCAAAACCCTTTGAAGAGCAGGATTAAAACCATGTGATTTCTTTTAATTGGACCATTAGTAGAGAATTAGCATTGAGCTTCACAGCCTCGTTAAGGAGAAGGAAAAAAACCCACCAGGTGCCTGTACAGATCTCAAGCTTGTTAGTTCAGAACATTCAGTTAATTAGGACTTGCTTTTGTTCCCGTGATGGTCACTCGTTTGATAACGTTTTTCGTTTGTCGTCCGAGGCTCTGGGCGCTTTTCCTCCCTCCTTCTGCAAAGGTTGTTTTTCATAGTGGTTCCTCTCTGACCTCCTTTTCTATTTGGCCTCTAATGGAATATGGAAATCAGCCGCAGCCACTTATCTTCATGTGTGTCAGGCTCTCTGGGAGCCATTTGTTTGCTCTTTTAGAGGTGAATGAGAGGTGAAGCAATCTGCAGCTGGTCAGCACTGAGTCACAGAGTATTTAGAACAACACAGGGTTTGTTCTCAGGAAGCTTGAGGACAAAACAGACCAAAGAGAAACTTCAGGAGGGAATTTCTGAATATAAATATGCAGTGAGGACTATTCCATAGCTAGACATTACAAAACTTCATATGGCGATAACCTGGATTTGCTTCAGGTAGTCGGCATTGAGGCCATGCCTGAGTCAATTAAAAGGGGAAAGAAACTTTATGGATTTCAACACTATAAGCAGCAACATTCACAGAATTTAATGAGTTTATATTGTTGTGCACTGGGTAAATATTCACAGTAGTCTTTGATCTTTGACGACAAATTCAGTTCAAGTTGTGATGCTGTCAAATACTTAGTTTCAGAAAAGTGTATTAAATCAGTAAAATCAAAGTAATTTCTTTTGAGGCAAAAAAACCTCCATCTGTTTCTTAAAATAAGGGGACATTTTCATGCAAATTGTAACATTTTTATATCAGTGAATCTCCATTTTGCTGCTCTCTGTCAGCAGATGCAGCGACCCCACTTATATCCAGTTTAAGGATTGTACATTTGATGTTCTGAACAGAAATCTCATGGTTCACAACAAGGGAAGCATTTGTAGTTTCTCACAGGAGCAATAATAGTTTTTTTTAGATAAACTAGAAAAGAAAAGGTCCATAATCTATTCACAGTGTGTTGGCAGAATGGGAAAAACTACACACTGTGTACATACACTAAAATAAAAGGATAATAAATGCCAAAATAAAATAAAAATAAAAGTAGAAAAAAGAAAGAAGTCTCATGTAAAGCATAACACTGAAACAGCACTGACTCTTTGCAGTGGCTGCTCATAATTACAAGCACTATTTGGCTGCTTCTATTCATGGTTGATAAAATATGATATGAGTACTACATTAGTTTGCAGTAGAGTAGCAGTAGCTAGCAACAGTCTATAGGAAATGCAGTGCAGTTAACCCCTATAAAACAGTGATTAAAGTGATTACTTATAAATGGTGCATGTGAAAGTCCAGGGCCCTGCTGAAGGCTTGTTCGACTTCTAGTTCAGATTTAGGTTTCTTCGGTTCTTGGCTAAAATGCATCTAAGTGCATCTAGACTGCAGGTCTGCTTGTCTCCCTCTCCAGGCTCTTTGGGGTGACAGGGAACTGTGCAGCCTGCAGTAAACTGATCCCTGCCTTTGAGATGGTGATGAGAGCCAGAGACAACGTCTACCATTTAGACTGCTTCGCCTGTCAGCTCTGTCGCCAGAGGTAAGATTAGGAGAGCAATTAACCAGGGAGATCAAATTCACTTGACTTATCTGTATGACTGAGTGGTCATTATGAGCATATTACTGATGCTTTGTAATCAGAAACGGATGGAATTCACTGCAGTTTAAAACCCCAAGGGGTTAAAAATCCACTTGGATGGTTAATCAGGCAGCAATCATGCAAGATTAATCTTCTGATTATCATAGCAGTGGATGTTTGCTGAAAATATGGCTGAAGTGCTCCTCTGGGACCTCATGAGTCACTTCAGCTCCAGTGAGAACTAAGACCCAGTTCCATATTTTTATTTCTCTCTGCAGATTTTGCGTGGGAGACAAGTTTTTCCTCAAGAACAACATGATCCTGTGCCAGCTGGACTATGAAGGAGGCCATCTTAATGGCAGCACTGAGAGGCAGCCTCAATAAGAGGTAATATTCTGGTGACGATGAATTATGGCCCCAGACAGCTGCTCTGACAGTTTGAACTAAACCATGTACTGAGATATCTGGAAGGTATACAAGTGAACTCCCAAGCTCATCCCAAATATGACCATATGTAGACATGTGCCTTCAGACCAGAGGCTGTTGACATTAGCAAGACATTCTATACCAAGATATGATCTAACATATTATCTCACAATGCATGACATGACTGTAAGTATGGATGCATATACTGTACGTATGTTCAGTTTTGAGGGCACTTTATGAAAATGTAAATACATTTATAGCATCTTAGTATATACAGTAAACAGTATATAAAGCAGGCAGGAGAGTCATGTTTATTACAGCAATAAATTGACCCCTAAATCCCACACAAAACCTTCAGTGATTATCTTATAATTCAGCTCTCATGTTATGTGCTGTTCACACCTGTCAGTGAGCGAACGAGAAAGAGGCGGACCCAGGTAGCCGACTTCGGTGCAAGCAGTGATTTATTATGTACAGTGATGATGAGAGTAACAATACACAGAGGGAAATAGCGCGTAGTCCTGTCGATGAGTAGTAGCCGGGTGTTTGACCAACAGCAGGAGGCGAGGAGATGGAGAGATTGAGAGCTGGGCCGAGCTGCGTAGGCTGGGTCACTCCTGGGCTGGTCGGTGGTGATGGTGGCTACTGAAGGTAGAGACAGAGAGATGAAGGCAATAGTGTGGCAAGTGACTGAGGAGTGAAACTGGGTAATATAGTGAGCAACCTAATCAAGTGCAGCTGGTGATAAGGGAGTGAGGAACAGGTGGACGTGATTAGTGTTAATGGGCAAGAGACAGTAGGAAAGGTGAGGGAGGCCAGAGCGGCCGAGCAAACCTGACATCTCAGCAAAGAAAACCCATCACACAAAGATCACACCATCGTCCTAAATCACAAAGTCAGAGAACGTCTTAGTCCAAAGACACTCTTTATTTATCATATTTGCTCAAATGAAATTTTGGAGGTGTAGCTTCAAGCTGAACTCCACAAGGTTTTCCAGAGACAGTTTTATCATTGTGTGGCTGCATGGTTAGAGGCTCAGGTAATGGAGCTGGACATACTCAGTTTCTGGTGTTGTGAAATGTTACATCTTGAGTTTGTTTCAGTTGGAACTGCTGGTTTCAAATGCCATTAAACTTCTGAATGGATTTGACAGTTGAGAGGAAATTCTTTTTTCTGTTGTTATGTTCATCACTTCAACAGAAAACAGACAGTACAGTGCAGAATTTTTAGGCATTAAAAGTAAAGTGAGGATGCTACAAATCTAATGCCACCAAGGCCTTTTTATTTAACAAAGTGTATTTCCTTAATGCTTTGGGCACATGATTTTATTTAAGTGACATTGTTCAAGCTGTTTCCCCTCATTCCCATTCAAGGCCATTAATGTGTGCGGCTGTTTTCAGGTTTAAACAGGTCTAACAGCCTTCTTTAAAGCTTTAAACAGCAGACAAATGAATTCTGTGTGAGCAGAGCTCTTCCTTTATTGATGGGTCTGCAAGCTGTGAGGACAGATGGGAGAAGGTTGAAAGCAAGTGCAGCAAATACCACAGAATCCACAATTACTGAGGTTTCAGGGTTTAGTAGAGTTCAAAAACATTCTCTGAAGCTAACCTATCATTATGCTGCTAACTGTACAAGTACAGTTCACAAAATACACAACACTGCACTGGACACTCGGTGGGTTTTTACTTTTAGTTGGTTTCAGGTCATCCAGAGTTCATTCTGAAACAGCTTTAGATGTTCAGAGCCCATTTCTTTCTTCTTTATTTTTTCAAAATAAAAGCCATGATACATTTGAGGAGGTTTCCAGTTGATTTTGTTGTTATGTGAGGTAAGAAATGTGGTATCTTTATCAATACATGTGTTCAGTCAGAGTTTTGTCAGATGCTGTATATTTTGTTTGGAGTCTGTTAAAATGTGGTTCTGCTTTAGAAATGTGGCTCCAACACTGTCACGTCGATAAAAAGGCCACAGTGAAGGTTATTTGGCTTCCAGATGCTCTAACTCTTTTTAACTGTTCTCCCAAGACCCAAAGCACCTTGATGTTGGATTTTGTGTTCCAACTGTGTTTTGTGTTACTTTCCTTGGTTCTCTGAAATGATTCACTTATCTGACATGACGAATAAGTTAGATATTAATGATAAATTATATTTTAAAGATAGTAAAAATTTGGTGTTTGCAAATTTGACCAATTGAAATTTAATATTAAACTTGATTTGATATGACATTTTTGCAAGGGCTTGTTTTATTCAATATTTTTCTTATTGTCCCACTAAAAAGTCAAAAACCAAGAATGCTTTAGTCTGTGTTGGCTCAGACCCGAGTCCATTGGTCCTACTGATTAAATACCCCAAATTTCCCACAACTGAAATGGTTCAATCAAAGGAATTCAAATCAGACAATCCAGGTCTGAGTCGCAGGCTTTACTATCAAGCTTGGTTGAGCTTTGGCGTGTAGTGCATTTGTTTTCAGCTGTGGATTAATCGACATGTGGCGCTTGAGTGAGTACCGTGGTTATGGCAGCAGGATGATGTACTGTATGTGGAATAAGATATACTGCATCAGTCTGTGGATGCAAAGATAGTAATATTTGTTAGAAGAATCAGCTCACTGTTGGATTTGTTGACAACAGGAAAAATGTTGAATATTGCCAGACTTATCCTTAAAATGCAGAGTAAAACTACCATATTTAGAGTATTATGTTAATTTTGTCTTTGAAATATAATAAAAAAAAGCAAAATGCATTTATCCATATTGTACAGAATATCACAATTTATTACAAGACACATAACTTTTCTATTGTTTTACCACCGGTAAACATAGGCTGAGGTTATGTTTTTATTGCATTTCTAAAACTGCATAGAGCCGCCTGGAGCTGTTTTATTCTCTCTTTCCCAGCAGATCAGACCAGGAGGACTGCGAGCCAGTCAGACTGTAAAACTCACAGCAGCTTCCTGTGCAAAAATAACACTGATGAAACACACTTCCAGAACTCTTTGTTACTGAGGTGTGTGGCAACTGTCCTGCTCAGATGGACAAGAGTTCAACCAAGATGGAAGAATGAAACTATTGGGAGGATATTTTACTGGACACAAATAGCGTGAACTAGGGTTTGCAAATAATTTGTAATGTCTGTTCCACCAAACCTGAAATATTAGAGGGATGGAGTGAAGCCAATTGGGCCGCACATAGCATCAACCAAATCATCCATCAGAGAAAAATACTGAGTAGCAGTTGTCAGATGGGTCTGGCAGTCACTGAACTGTCTTTTGTTGTGATCCCCACCCAACTGGCAAGAAGGAAGCCCCAAAATAAACAGGAACATATTTGTTTCAGCTCAACAAAGAAGAAGATCCACGGTTTACCTCTTCACCTTTTGACTCTGAAGACATGAGTGGGACTTTGAACCCGCTGTAGCTTTGTTTTCACTCTGATCTCCAGCTGTGTTTTCTTCACTAATTAAATTGAGTTTAAATTTCAGTTTGTGTGTTCATTATTTATGTGATTGTAATCACTGGGGTGAGCATAACACCAGAGGGAGGAAATCATTTAAAGACTTGAACTCTGGGACAAAGCCAGAATAAACCCACACAGAAGTACCTTGGCCAGCTACCACGTTTGCACCCACAACTTTATGGTTAGGAAGCAATAGCGCTAAGCATTGCACCACTATGTCACCCTTGACTACATACATTTAGTTGGTGTAATCTCAGCAACCTAGTCACATTTGCCAGTGCATTTTGAGGATGAGTGAATCTGATAATGTTATAATATTGGACTGTAATTACGGTTGCATTATTGTGTACATCACTTTTATGTTGCAGCTGGTAAAGGTGGAACAAAATCTAACAACCTTATACACTTATACTTTTGAGTATTTTACTTACTGCTAGGTAGTTTGTGAATTTCCCACCAGGAATCAATAATGTTGTTATATATTTTGTTTTATTAATCAGACTCCAAAAAGTAACTAAAGTTATCAAATTGTACTGCAGACAAATATACAATATTTGCCTCTGAAATATAGTGAAGTCTAAGTTTGAAATAGCATAAAATGTAAAAATAAAGTACAGATATAAAATCCTCCTTAGGAACAGTATTTGATACAGTGTGCTCAGCTACTTTTCACCACTGGAAACATCTGTATAATGCAGTAGGATCCAACTGAATCAGAGATGCTTCCAAAATGAGCATCAACTTGCATCAGCACCTCTGATTATTAAAACCTTCATAAAGGAGGATTTATTACCGGACTGCTGTATTACACTGCTGTAGTTTCAGCTAGGTGAACTGGGTGTAGCCAACGCTACATCTCCATTCATTTTCACCCTGCTGTGCACTCTGACAGCCTTTAGCGCCTCCCCGCGGTGAAATGCGTAACTGCAGACTTGGTTCACTTCCGTTCCTCAGTCAACAACAAGGAAGTAAAACCGGTGGGTGACAAGTATCAAACCGCCCCAGTCTCGTCTGTCTTCTCACTGTAAACCAGTCAGAATCAGTTTCTTCTTAAGCGGCACGGTGACCACTTACATGTCGGGATGGCGATGTCAACATTTCAGAAGGTGACCCTCGCGACGTGCCTCGTGCTGTGCGTCGCGCTGCTGCTTCCCAAAATGCTGTTGTCCCGGGGGAGAAAGGATGCTGCGGAGCGGCCGGAGGGTGCGTCACCGTTAACGGGTTGTCTTTATCGTTACAATGTGCAGTGGCTTTTCAAATAGAGTGCTGAATTTATTAGCTTGTGGACATTGTCATATAACGTTTTACTTACTTTGTATTTCAAGCCAAAATGTGTTGTATGCATCACCGGTGTGTTGTCGTCCTTGCAGTTACATTTTCCTCCCTGACGGTGGCGCAAAAACACGGACACGTCTAGGTTATTCAGTAGAAATGTAAAATATACACTCAGTTGCCAGTTTATTAGACACACATAAGCTCACAAATGTCTTGTTTTCAAGCCAGACACTTTTAAACATCTTTTAAAGCAACACGACAAAAGACAAATTTAAAGAAAGATGACAAAATTGTGATTTCTCCTCCTCTTCATCTGTTGTCCCCTCTCTCCAGGTTCAGGTCGTTTCCCTCCGACGATACATGGCCAGATGTCCTCAGAGGGCCGAGGCCAGAAGGCCGCGGGCTCCGGCTCCGCCAGGGTTCACAACCCTGAGGCCTTGGCCAGGGGCAAGGGGGCAGGAGGCGGAGGCAAATCCAACCTGGCAGGCCAGATCATCCCTGTCTACGGCTTCGGAATCTTACTCTACATCCTCTACATAGTGTTCAAGGTGAAATACTGGTCACACAATATGCAGCTGCTCACATTTATTTAAAGGGTGTAAATTATTTTACACACTGTCTGATAACTCCAGTGAAAATGGGACAGGATATAGTGCCTCTCAGCTGACATTGTCTCCTTGTTAGATCACATCTAAGGGGAGCAGCAAGCTGTCTGAGGGCCGGTGTGCTTCGGTCCGGTCAGAAAACATGAAGAGAAAGATCAGTGAGTGTCATTCAACATTGGTTACACTCACTCATTCATCATTTAACAACTTTGAGCGCTTACACCCATCAGCTGCAGAGCTGCAGTGTTGTGTGAAAGGTAAAATGATCTTTATCTTCAAAAAACAGGCTGTGAAAGCAAGATTAACTAGTGTTGGGTGTTTTTGCACTGACCAGAACAGCTCCACATGGCTCAGATTTTCATATATAAAACTGCACAGCTGTCAAGTGTAAAATATATACAGTAGATTATATACGTGTCAAGCCATTTAGAAATAGGGGTATTTTAAAGGGCACTTGTTTAATTCATCTAAAGCGTTGATGCACATTTCCTCTAAACGAACAGTCAGTTTTGTGTGTGTGTGTGTGTGTGTGTGTGTGTGTGTGTGTGTTAAGTCACATCTAGTCTCAGACAGTTCACATTCCCAGTGCATTAAAATAATGAATGAGCTGTTGTTTATTGTCTGGTTTGTTGACTCCCATAAAACATCATACTGTAAGAGGAGTGACTGTTCACTATGGCTGTAAGACAAGAACTACACGTGTTCCTACTTCCTACTTTACACCAGTGCAGTGGTTGATTATGTTTGTTTGAGCTCAAATTGTGTTCACACTCGTGCACATAGTTCTTCCTTTCCCTTTTCTTCCAGCTGACTTTGAGCTGGCTCAGCTGCAGGAGAAACTGAGGGAGACCGAGTTGGTGATGGAGAGTATTGTATCCAACGCCCACCACAGCCCTGACAGGTGGGTGTGTGTGGAATGAGGAACCATTTCATCAGTCCACCTCCTCCCTCTCGTTTCCCGACAAGAATGATTTCACTTTATTGCGCTGAGTTACTCTGATTGGCTGTAATTTGGACATGTGAAAGTTGTTTTGAGTTGAACTTCCAAAATGTATACATTTTTTTTCTCATCCTTATAAATACTTATCTGCTCTGTTATTAGCGTTCCTATGAAAACATTCAAAAAGATCAGTGCCCACACAATCAAAAATGTACTAACTATGACATTTAAAAAGAAGCATCTTGTTAGTTCTGGAGTCCCAGATTTGTTGCACTGTCAGCTGATCAGTTTTTAGCATAGTTAAATAAATAAAGATAAGATAAAATGAATCTTTTTAGTCCCACAACAGGGGAAATCACAAAGCTACAGCAACAAAGGGATAGAAACAAGGAATTTGGTGTTAAGAATAGAAAAGTAACAGACAAGGCTTTATCATTATTAACAATTTAATAATAAAAAGTAAAACAATATTGCACACAGCAGGGTTAATGTGGGTTAAATGTGTAAGTTTAAAGCAGGATAAAGGAAACGGCGAGAGCCGCTCAACTTCACAATCGCATCAAGGCTCCACAGCTGAGGAACATGCGCTGGAATGTTTAGTTGTGTGCTTGTACTGCAGGGTGACAGGAGTGACGGCGGATCAGGAGGAGAGTCTCCTGCAGCAGCTGATGGAGATAACACGGGTGATGCAGGAAGGCCAGCTGGTGGAGGGGATGTCTCCAAGGAAGGAAGCCCAGAGCGACTGGGAAGGTCAGACCAGGGATATACTGTATGCTCACATGGGAATTAATTTATTTTGAATACTGAAGTTTAGTAGCATTGCATAAAGTAATGTGCCTTGAAAGCAGAGTGGAGATCAGGGCAATGGAAGAGTTGTGTACAGTTTAGTCCAGGTCAAACTATATCATAGCCACGTTACAGCTGACATACAAACAAGTGACAAATGAAAGGACAACCCAACATAAAATGTCTCAGTACGGTGCTGTGCCACCACATGCAGCCAAAACAGAATTTTTGGTATACAGAGTTTTAGTGTTTGAGTACTAGCAGTCAGCTAAACAAACATTGATTGTGTAGTGCTCATCAGTTGTAGCTGTTTCTAGAGTGAATCAGACATTGGGTAGTGGATATACTGTTTGTGAAGGAAACGCTGGTAAACAAATAACTTTCTCTTTCTTCAGATTACCCTGAGGAGCCTCCTCAGTACTGGGAACATCCTTGCTGCAGTTGTCAGCACAGTCAGCAGCACTACAGTCCACAGATGGAGACAGAGGTGGAGAGGACAGAAGTCAGTGGAGCCGACCTGTTGGAAAACATTCATGCTGGCGATGGTACAGGCGGAGCAGAGGCTGAGCAAGCTGAGGACCGGAGTGCAGACGCTGGAAGAGAATCCATCTTTGCAGCAGTGAGTGAAGAAGATGCGGGGCCAGAGAGTGATGTAGGCTTAAATAAGGAAGAAGCCTTGCATGGACACAAGGAGGGAGGGGGTCGGATCGATGTGAATGTCCCACAGGAGGACCTGGTTGGAGTCCTGAAGGAGCTGCAGCTCACTCTGAAGATGACGTCTGTGATGGAGCAGACTGAGAGCCTTGCTCAGCCCACAGAGACAGAAACATCCAGCAGTCAGGTCAGACGGAGGAACAGGAGGAGGAGAGCAAAGAAAGCCTCACCCTGACTCTGTCATGTAAACTTAAGCCTGGGCCTGGTTTTGTCAAGACAGATAAACTGTAAACCTGTCTTCATCTGATGGGCAGTAGCATGGAAGGTGGTGAGTGCATTAAAGTGTTTCTAGCCTTGTTTATTTTTACTTGACTAAGTGAGAAAATGTGTGCACGGGGCACTGTTTACATGACCAATATCAACTTTATCCATTGGCTAAAAGAAAAATAAGCAAAGTTTAAGGTATTAAAATTTCCAAATATACTCAACACTTCTATTTGTAGAAACAGGGGCCTCATTTCTAAAATGATCACAGTTAAATATGCTAAATATACACAGGACTTCCCCAGGCCCAGATTTTACAGTAATAATAATAGTTGACAAACTGTACCTTGAAGTACAGCCAGCTGTGAACAGCCTAAGCATTTATTTCTGTAGGGGAAGTGTTGAGTTAGTTGTTATACCTGATCTGTGAAAGCTGTTTTTCAGCAAGCATTTTCCTGTAAAATAATCCAAAATTATTCACATCTGGTGCTTTCATTTAATGTGCTTTTACAATATACAAATGGACAGAAAACAAGGCTGAATCAGGCCACTTGAAAATGTGCTTGTTCTACACATGAATGCATGAAACTTCTGGCAATTCTAGCTCAGACTAGAGCAAAGTTTTCTCATAAAGATGTCAATGTGTGCAGGAATTATGCAGCTGATGAACACTGAGCCTGCAAAGAAAAGAAACTGATGACATTTTATTATTTATGCAACTAATTTACTGGGTTGTTGGTGCCTTCGCTCACCTTTGTCTGCATTTGCTAAACAAATCTCTTATCAAAGTGCAGTCATATAAAACTTCTGGCGGTTTATATATATTTTCACACAATGAATGCCCTGTGATAAATTTGAAAAAGAGCTGTAAGACAAACGGCGTGAGAAATTGGCTGCTGTACCAATAAGTTGAAGCCTTTAACATACATTTCCTGTGATATTGACCTCCATGTTATTTAAAGATTTTTAAATATTCACTGTTCAGAAAAGTACCCGAGAATGCATATCAGTGATTTGGATACTGTGAATGACAAGATGTTCTGAGTTTTCATGGCTTTTAGTTTATTTTATTGGAACTTGTCATGATCAATAGTAAAAAAAAAAAAAAAAAAGCTGAGAGACTCTCGAAACTCACCGTTTGCCACCTGCAATATTACTTACCTAGATACTGAAGATTATTCACTGTAAGTCTGGTAAATATATATTAAATAGGCTACTAATGTAATAAAAAGCTGGAGCAGTTCAAAAAAGAAAGTTTATTACTTGTAGAATGGTACACTTGACCCATACAAAAGCAACATCACGGCTGTTGTAAGCAGAGACTGTTTTAGATTAATGGCAGGTGGCACATCACAACAGCATCTGTTCCCTCTAACAGTTACTGAGTCGCACAAAGTGTCAGGTTGGTCTGGGATCTACCAGAAGTTGATCACTGATTGGCTCGCTGCCTCAGTGCTCCATTGGCTCATCAGGTGCCTCACTGGCGGGTTCGTCTGCGGGCTGGGCAACCTGACAGACACAAATGTGGTTTAGCACAGCCATCTGGGATCTAACACTGGTATTAATAATCCTAATACAAAAGCAAACCTTTTGTGTTAAACATTTGTTAGACACAGCTTCAAATTAAAATGTTGTGCTCATCTTGTTTTCAGTGTTCAAAGATTAAATCTGTGCCTGAAACCCAAAATGGGGCTATGCATGTATTTTAACAGCATGCTATTGGTGTGTTTTGACAGCGATTCACAATGCATAATAAATGCAATGATTTGTTCACTTAAATTAAACTGGACTGGACACGTCCTTGCAGCACCTTTCTCTGTGGCCTCTCCTCCAGTCCCTCCAGGAACGGAGCAACATCATCATCGTCATAAATGGTGAACTCCATTTCCTTCCCCACGATGCCAATGGAAACATTCTAAAAAAAACATGGGAAGTCTATAGTTAACAAATGGTCTGTTTTATAAAGAACTTTTGTTTTTAATCACTAAAACAAAATTTTAATATGCAACACACAGTACAAGATCTGATAACTCATAGCTTCTAAACTCTTAGAACCAGATCCAAAAATGAAACAGGGGGCCTGAAGTACCTTGGTAGTGAGGTCCTGCTCAGCGGGGAGGGTTTCTCTGAGCGCACGGAGACCATGCTGGACTAAGTCATTCAGACTACCTAAGAACACAACAGTACCAACCAGCTCAATATTTATTCTTGATGTTAGCCTTATATGCATCAATCTGCATAAAAATTAGCCAGTCTGGTGACCCTAGTTACAACAACTGAATATGAGAGTATGGGGCTAGAAAATGAGTCTTACAGTCAGAGAATTTGTCCATGAATCTCTCCAGGTAAGTACGTGCAGACTGTGAGCGCGCTCCGATGGACATGGCTTTGCAGTCAAAGTAATTTGCTGAAGGGCAGGTCTGGAAGATGTGAGGTCCCATGTCCTGGGTGACACACATCAAATGAATGAATGTCACTTTCAGCTTTTTCCCGTTAGGGCTCACCACAGTGAATCACAAATCACATTCTTAAATAAAAATACTACAACTGTATTAATCAAATGAGATATTTAAAAAAAACAGTATAAACGCACATCATAGCCTGCAATAAGGAGTCCAACACCGTAGGGCCTCCTTCCATACCGCTGTGTTGGGATTTGGGTTTCTAGATGGTCGATTAAGGATCACTGTGGCTATTTACTCTTTGTTCAGTTTCTCTTAAATTTCCAGTACCTTCAGATGACTAGATGCTCCCTGCATTTAGTGTCAGCTGTTGTGAATTTGTCATGCTGCCAGTAAAATCTCAACATTTTTATTACAGAACTTTAGAAACAATAGAAAGGATACTGCTGCCAACAAGAGAGACAAGACGTGATGCGGGGAGGGGCCTGTCAAAGACAAATCTTGAGTCCAAACACTCCTGACGCATGAAGTTACTGTGGAAGAGAAGGTATTGCATTATGTAAAACTCATTACAACTTTACTAAAAAGCTTCATGTACACACCATGGTGTAGATGTGACCTACCAGAGCAGTCTGGCATCAGCAGTCAGTCCAGCAATGGAGATGCCAATGTGGTTATCGACATGGAGTATCTTCTTCTGATGGGCAGCCAGTTCAGACTGGGCTCTCTACAGACAAAACACCAATCGTGTGATCAATTACTTGTCCTTTAACTGACACCAATAACATGCTACAGGCTTTCTTAGTTATTGGATGTGTTGCTTTTTAAGATCTCATTAAATGACATTAAGATGATAATTTTCTTCTGTGGCTTGATGCTTTCTTTATAAATCGGAATGCCAGGGTGGCACTTACCACTATGAGGAAGCTAACGTTAATGGGTTTTGGGTAAACTGACACTTAAAACACCTCTGAACCAGGTTAAACTGGGATATTTATGTGAATGGTCATTAACACTAAATGTTAAACTATTATCTGTCTTGTTAAGTCTAGTTCAGTTGACAGTCTCTTCACACTTAGGTGGTAATGCTCTGAGAATGAAACAGGATGACTGTACCTTTAGGGCAACCAGAACTGCATGGGTTTTGGATTTCAGTCCTACAGTTGCAGAGCCTTGCTTCACTGCCTCCATTGCATACTCGATCTGATGAATACGCCCCTGTACGCATAAGAACATGGACAATACTTTTATGCAACTTCATGCTAATAATACACAGTCATTTCTTTTTGAAGGTGAAGGCGTCGACTTACCTGCGGACTCCATACTGTCACATCGTTGTCGTACTGATTGCGGAACTAAGAACAAAAATAAGACATAATAAAATAGATGACCTGACAGCGACATGGAAGACAGCATAATACAATCAAATAAAAGCGCTCACATAGTTGTCTTGCATTGCCAGCAATTTCTTAGACAATTTTTTACGAACTTGGTAAGCTGTGGACGGATATATGGATAAGGCTTTACTTTTCTACACCATGGACTTTTCTAGGCAGCGGTATTAAGTTACTAACGTCACTGCAGTAAATAATTGATAAGGCGACCAGCTTCTGCTGCCCGGTTTGATCGAGATGCATCATACGGTCAAGCACAAGCATTAGCTACTAGCATCACTTCCAGGGGTGTTTGGACATCAGCGCTCCGTACTAATTTAACTTAGTTCTGCGGAAAGTTGAGTACCATTAGCCGGGTAAAAACACCAACTGTACTGAATCATTACAGTGACTGGAGTTGTGTACTGGCTTCACAAAATAAGGCCGGTGAGTTGGGGAGAAAACGAAAGTAAAAGACAAGGCTCTGCCATTGCTGGTTTGACTGATCTAAAACTCTAGCTAGCTTCTGCTAGCTACTTCGCCTTAGCCTGCTAACTGTCTAACCAACTAGCAACGCAACTGTGCTGTTATTTTGGGCACTAAATAAAAGCACGTTGCATTAATGAAGCCCGATTGAAAGTGAAATCATCAGAGAATTGTAGGCTGTGAACAGTTTCTCTAAACACACGTTATATAGCCGTCATCAATGCAGCTAACGTTACCGAAGGTGTTTTGCTTACTCACAGTGCAGTCAGTAGTTAGCTAGCTACTATTAGCTTAGTGTGAGCAAATAAACTAAAATTCTTGGGGTTTCTAGTACATTGTAATAAATGAATTGGCTGTGCGAGTTATTTAGACAGGTATATTATATGGTATTAAATTGATCGATATATATATAAAACTTCATTCATACATACCATCTCTGCTTCTAAATGTATCGCCTCTCTGCCTGTGCTGTGATCTGAACTTGATTTTTCTTCCTGGACGCAACGTCGGGGAAAGCAATAGAACCCCGATATCAAAACCTATGCATGTCAGAGGTACATGTACCTTTTACTCCACTACATTTGTCTGATAATTGGAGTTACTTGTTACTTTGAAGATCAAGATGTTGAATTCAAAGTATACAACCAGACCATCAAATTATGCATTTTTATAGTCAACAATGTACACTAGGCTAGAAGAATGTTAAAATGCATTTAATTGCTGAAGTAGCCAAATGTTAATAATTTAGCGATATAACACCATGAAAGGGTGCCATTTTGTCACCTAAGTTATGCATACTTTATTTTTGTTGCTTTCAAAAGACTGTGCTGCTAACACTGCTAATAGGTCTGTTCTTCTACTAAAATTATGAATGGAGACTGTTAGCTGTAATGGAGGGTTTTTCAAAGTGATGTATTGCTACTTTTATAGGCTAAGTAGCAGATCTCCATACTTCTTCCACTGTTGACTTTGTCCTATAAACTTTAGTAGGAAAATTATCAAAAAGATTAATTTCACAAATTATATAGCAATGATTTTACATATTTAACGTGTTAAATGATTTGCCTATTACATAATAACATTTAATTTCAAATCATGTATTCCATACAATTTGAAATAGAATTTTATTAATCTCCGTAATGTCTGTGTACATCATTTGGAAAATAAGGAATGAAGTTACAGTTTTCAGCAATGTCATCACTGACTCTTTTCTTTTCTGCACTGGCCCCACAGGTGCATGAACACCAGGTGGCAGCAGTAAATCACAATGCTGGGTGTTTCATGTATGTATTTGTCAAATTTATTTTTGTTACCATGCTGCTAAAATAATGAAAGCCAAGTAATGGCAGATTTACACAGAAATCACACAGTTCCATATTCACTTTAATTAACTGTAGTTCAGTTCACTTTAAACTTTATTTTCGGATTTTAATGCAACAGTAAAGCTGATTTTGCAAGCTTAAAAACAATAATGCCTCAGCTGAAAATTATAAATATGTAACAGATCAGACTTTATCGTCATTCCAAATTTTTGTAGTTGTTTGTGATTTAATGTCTTTCTTATATTGAGAAATAGCCTGAACTAAGTTCACTGATTGAATGTACAGATAAATAAATACAGAGAATAAAATTAACCATTTTCTCAAGGTAACATATGTGAAAAGTCAAAAGCAGTTGTAATGGCAGTTCAATGTGCAGTCTGCTTATGTAAAAGTAAATGCCACCCATTTTAATAATTCACGTTTTTATTGTGCCACAGAGCACTTCAGTCAATATGTCTCATCCACTGACTGTGCTTTTGTAAAAACTAGAAGAAGTAATACATGACCTTTAAACTGGAGAGAAAATCTACTCTGGTGCACTGAACTGTTATTGTGGTTGAAAAGAAAGTAGAGTTAAAAGCTCATTTATATGAGAATAATCCTCTCATCCTGAGTGACATATCAGATTTTGTCAGCTGCCTATTTATTATCTATGAAGCATTCGCTGATGCTGCTTCTTTGTGATGCAGAGGGTTTTTTCCAGTAACTCCACATCAGTAAATGAGACTTTTAGATAAATTCACATGAATCCAATATACTGGACTTCAGTTTCTATTGGCATAGTATAGCTTGTATTGATTAACTGTAAAGCTTTGGTCCTTAATCTTTTTTTTCCCCTTGTGACCATTAAAACAAAGCAATTTTTTTACTAGTTCAGTTGAAGACAGATTTTTTTTAAAACTCATTTTGCGCCTGAACAAAGTAAAGTTACTCAATAAAAACAACACATACAACAAATGAAGATTAGTAGGACTGTCTTAAGAAAGCAAGGCATAGCTTTGTGCATCAGGAGTGTTTCTATTAATTATCTCAAATAATTAAAGGTTTTTCCAGCTCCTTATGGAGGTCCTGGCCCCCAGGTTAGGAACCTCTTCTGCTGAGTAATCATTTTAATAATCCAGTGATTTATGCAAACCAATAATGGTCTTAATGGTACCTAGAGAATTCTAATACCAAAGTGACCAAAGTTGGTGTCTGTCTTCATTTGTTAGGATTTTAAAGTAGTTCTTTTTAAAAATAAAGGATATGCAGTGGTGGAAGAAGTACCCAGATTGTTTAGTTAAGTAAAAGTATCAATACCACAGTATAAAAATACTTTGTTCTAAATAAAAGTCCTGTATTCAGAACATTACTTACGTAAAAATATAAAAGTATTAGCATCAAAATATAGTAAAATACCAAAAGTAAAAGAACTAATTATGCAGAATGGCACAGTTCACATTAATGGATATCCTATCATTGGATTATAATTATTGATGCATTATTGGGAATATCACATTTAATGTTGCAGCTGGTAAAGGTGGAGCTAATTTTAATTACCTTTTAATGCTTATAATCTGACATACTTTATATACTAATGGGTAGTTTGTAAATTTCCCACCAGGGATCAGTGAAGTGTTATGATTGTACTGTATTTTGTTTTATTAATCTCATTCTAAAAAGTAACTAGTAACTAAATTTATTGAATAAATGTAGTGAGTTCACTATTCTTCTTTGAAATGTAATGAAGTCAAAGTATGAAATAGCAGAAAATGAAAATACTCAAGTAAAGTATAGATACCCTAAAATTGTATTTAAGTACAGTTTCTAATGTTCCTAGTTACTTTCCACCTCTTAGCAGGTCTACAGGGGTTAAGATGCCTATAGGTCTTTGGTGATGTGTCCAAAGATGTGCTTCAACATGTATGCACTATATCCTCTATGACTCAACAAATTCTTGGCTCTCTTAGTGCTTTTTAATTTCCCCAATGATTCTGTTACTTTCCATGTTACATGTCTCTCCACTCAGATAAGTGACCCCCTGTAGCCTCATCCTCTCTTATGTCAAGATTTAAACTTGGCTGTTCCTTGCTTCTTTTTTCTTTTTTCTATTAATGATATCTGATGTAGCCTCAAACCAGGAGGAGGGGGGAGATGAATTAGTGGGGCTGTGCTGATGAGCTTTCCTCCTCTGCCAAGGCAGCGGCAGCGCGGCGGGAGCCATTACATCAGTGCGCCAACCTTTGTGATTGAGATTGTAAGGAGCGGTGCTGAGCTCAGCATGTTTTTTCCTGGGGGCCTCATTTAACTTTGCCAAACGTCCCCTTATTTAATTTTTCAAATGGAGAGCAGCCTGAGTCACTGCGAGATGGGTCCAAGCCACAGTGTGGGCTCGATATAGAGGAGAGTGCATCCATTCCTCTTCCCATTCATAGTTTTCATGTCTTAACTGCACGAGGAAAGAGCAAACTTCTCCTGTTTTAACTCAGCCTATCTCTGATTAAGATTTAATTCCTGTATGTTTCCATATGTAATACCTGGTGTGATAGCATCAGTGTAGACTCTTTTTCTTTTTTACTTTGTTGGAACTGTTATGTGAGCTGCATGGCTTCACTTCCTCATGTATGATGACAACACATCTGTTGTGTACACATTAGCATACAGTATAATTAATACCGAATTCATTTTGTGTCTTGAGTTGCTTCCCCTTGATTCTATAAATAGGCCCCTGATGCTTTTTAGCCTGGAAAATGATGATTAATGGTGACGCTCTGCCAAGGTTGGATTAAAGTGGCGGCTATCCCTCAGCAAGAGAGGTCAGGGGTCAGCAGCCGCACAGCAAACAGAGGAAAGCCATCTGAGCCCCTCCTCTCCACAAGGTTTATGAGTCTGAATACTGCATATCGTCAATATGTCGTCACTGGCTTTAACCTCTCCTACAAAACAAGTCCAGACATGTGAGAAAAGATGTGAGGCAGTAGTCTGGCTGAGATCCTTTTCAGTTTGCTTACGTCAGTTTCCTGGTTATGACGAATGCGCTTATGCGGCATTTCAGTGGCAAATGGCTGAAGAGGCTTAAAAAAAGCTGTACTTTGTGGAGCACTTAATATCAGCAGCTAGATAGACAGTCTCTTAGCTCAGTCTCTGAGCCTAAAAAAATAAGTATCAAACCGCACGTTTTCTCTAGAGTATCTATACAAAAATCTATAGAACAAAAACTGATTCACTTCAAACCACCTGATTACACTGCATGCTTTACAGGAGGGAATCGTTTTGTTAAAGACATTGAGATGATGCTTGGAAATAAGAGTTTGCAAGCCAAACTCATTTGGAAACTAATACATCAAAACCATTTATTTATTTGTCAAACCTTGTTGCTGTCTGTACAGAATCATCTGAAGACACCAAGCCTACAGAACAGAGACATCCAGTCATCGTTTTGGCTTTGCAACAAATGTTTAAGCATGAATTACATTTGCTCACCTATCATTGTAGTTTTGGAATAAAACTAATGTGGGGTCACTTTTGGAGAGCATTTTCTTCTGTAAGATAGCACTGCATTGATATATTTATCTACTAATTATTATTGAACAGCAGCAAAAAAAAAAAAAAAAACAGATTGAATTGAATTACTCAGACTGTGAGTCTTTTTCTGTGATGACAAAGTTTCACGTTAACAAGAACTAGAGGAGAAGTTTATGGCTCTGCTTCACCGTGTGTCACCCTTCTCATTTTGTGTTTGCACCTGATCAGACATCTGGAGACGAGGTGTTTCACAGAGGATGAATGCCTGACATGAAGCTGCTCTGCTGCGTGATACATCAGTCTGATCTCTGACTCGTGTGAAGTTCAGTTCACTGAACCACCTACTGATGTCACATGCTCCTTGCTATATGCTTAAGGTCGGTTTAATGATAAGATTATGTTAGTAAAGTTCATTTTTATTAGTGTGTTAATGTATAAGACTGCATGTAATCCATCTGGAAGGTATAAAACAGTATATCTATACATAAAGTGAAAAATATACTGTATAAAAAGTGTATTTTGTGGCAAATGTTTACTGACAAATAATCTACAGATCAAACAGACAAGTGACAAATTAAAGGAAACCCCTGAATAACTGAGTGGTCTCCTCCATAATGGCAGTGCCTTTGTCCTCAGGACACGAGGGGTCACTGAATAGTTTGATGACGATGAAAAAGATGTGAATCATATGCCGTGGCCTTCACCGTCACCAGATAGGACAGTGCTGGAGAGTAGAAAGGTACTTGGCATGTTATGTTTTGTCTTTTGATATTTCATGGCACCATAAGACTGTGTTGTGACCTGATGTTTTTCTTCTTTTCTGTCTCCTCTGTCCACTCACCCCAGCCGGTCGAGGCAGAAACACCACATGAGGGAATATCTGTTGGAAGAACAGTGTTCATCCCTCCAGTAGAGTTCAGAGGCTAAAGCTGATGGGAGGCTTCAGCAGACAGAATTGCTCAAGTCAGGAGGTTAAGTTACTGTCTTCCCAGTTCAAAATATTACTGAATATTATTTTAAGATGCACTTAAAAGACTTTGAACCTATTCTCAACACCACTAGATTTCAGCCAAATGCTTTGTAGCTGGAATTAAGTTACTATTCAAAACCCCAGTTGCTATTCAATTTTTATCTATTCATTTGTCCTACATTTAGTGGGATTGTTTTGTATTTCTGAATCAAAATTTCCAGTCATTTATCAGCTGACATATACGCTAATATAGGTATTAGACAACTATTATTATTATTATTATTATTAGCTAATATTACTTTGAACAAATGGCACATTTAAGTAGACATGAAGGTGGTTTTGTTACATTTTAGTATGTGACAGTTAAATGTACATTTATTTCTAGTCCAAACACAACAACATGACTTTAACATAAGAAAAACTATGGTGAATTAATAAACAAGATGGTTACACAAATTACAGTGTAGGAGATGTTGAACTGCTCAAGCAATTAATTTCTACAATGAAACAACGTGCACTGCAACAGCCAGATGGTTTTGTCAAAACTAACTGACTGCTTTAAATTTCATGTGATGTGACCTTTGTGTGCTTAGTGTAGAATTTATATGAAAGCTCACGGTTTAGTAAGAGCATGCATGGCTGAGTCGAATGATTACTTGAGGCTATAAAAAGCCACTGAATGATTTATAGGAGTCATTGCTATGTGATCATGTCATCAACCTTTATGGTGGGGTTTATCCTGACAGGGCGTATTATATACTGTATGAAGCAAGGCGTTGCAGCAACTGAGGACAGGGAGGCATGCCAATCAATACTCACAGGGATGATGACGTCCAGCGCTGAGCCTGTGCACGAAGGAATTCTGCAGCTCACTTTGATATTTATACAGTTTGACTCTTGGGCTTGGCTCTTTTTGGAAATCCAATAAAATGCTAATTGAGACATAGGGAGTCCTTTATCAAAGCTTCAGTTTTCAGTATATGTTTCACCTATTTTTATACAGCCAGACTTTTTTTTTGCCTGCAAAAAACCTGACCTGGTGAAACGTGAAGCTACAGCAAGAATGGGACCTTACATGATATGCACCTGTTGGGCAGGATACACTTTGGTGGCAACGTTTAGGTGGGCGTGTGATGGAGTGTTGTTCTGGAGACACCTGGCTGCTCCAGCTAATCTAGTCATTAAATCTCCATAATAGCCTCTTGTTCTTCGGGAACCATCATGTCACAATAATGGCTTTTACAAGTGAAGGTTGCTGTTAAATGCTTTTGACTGATTAGAAAAACTGTCCAGTTTCTGGTGAGCAGAAAAAAATGCAATGTTTAAACACACCACATTAATTTCATTGCCACGCCTGCTGGACCATTAACTTGTGGGCTCAATTGCCAACATAGCAAAGGAAAGAGGCGGCTCAGGGGCCAGTAATTTGACGATCCACAATGTGAGATATATTTCTCTCTCTGAGGGAGAACAGACTCTCCAAGGGGATGATGAGTACTCTTTGGTGAGGCACATGATAAATATGTCTTAGGCAGCAAAAGGTACAAGAACAATGGAAAAGAAAAAATATAGAGGTAATGAAAGAAGATGAAGCAAAAAAGCACAGAAGCTGCCGCAAGAACTCAGTCAGTGCACTTTGACAAAAGAAAGGAAAACTGTGGTACAGACAAAAAGACTGAGATCTCTACTGAACACCACTGAAAGAAGCTGAAGAGATTTATCAATAAATCATGTATAGATACATATTTTTTCCAATTAGTGAGAGTTTTACATCCGAGTTTTAATGTATCTTGAGCATCTTTGAGCCGCAACGAGAGCCAGAAATATCCTACTCTCGGTTTTGCTGCAGAGGCAAAAATTACAGGCAGATTCTTGGGTCTCGGCCAGGCTTTATAACCGCATAACATTTAGCTTTCTATAAATACCACGGGATGCAATCCAAGTTGATCAAGTGTGATTGAATCTGAAATGACTCCAGTGATGAGAGCCAAGTTTCCTTAAGATACTTCCAAGGAACCGCTTGCCTCTGCCCAGCTTTTGACAGGGCACCAGCCTGAGTCACGCCACAGTTCCCTCTGAGTAGTTCAAGCAAAAGTAATGATTGCAATACACAAACTCTCAAGTAGGATTGATATGGTGCTGTATTGACTTCAGTGTTAGTTTGTAAAGTCCCAAAAACAGTTTCTAGGTTGGAGCCTTATACTGTATCTATCAGAACTGCAAGAGGTCTTCTGTTCTATTAGAAAATGTGAGTGCATGAAATAAATGATTGATTCTCATATTGTCTTATACTTTGTCAAGCTGGCAAGCATAATTGCTGCACAACTCCATATTTTTGTTAAGTCAGGTCACTTCATACATTTTCGTGTAATCATAATAAACAGGACTCCCAACAGGCACATTTCAGAAGCACAAACTCTCCTTAGTGTTGCTCCGTTTGTCCACAGCATGTGCAAGTGTCTGGCTATCAATTACTGAGAGGTCTCTGTTTCTCGTTTGCTCTATCTTCTTGAATGCATCTGGAGCAGATACAAGCAGACGTAGTTGATCTGCCAGTGATGTCAGAGCCAGGGGGCTGACATGTCTCCCACACCGTGATGCTGAAGGCCCCTGATTGATGTTCTGAAATTTAGACGATTGAATGTAATCTCCCTAATGCTTGGGGATGCACAACAGAAAATGCTTGGAAACTTAGACCGCCCGACCTGTTTCTTGACATTTTACATGCTTCCTTAAAGTGATGACCTTCTGCTCTGCCACTTGTCCTGCTTGTTTAACAGGTGAACATGTTCAAGAGTGTAACACCTGCTTGAAACTACGTATTTTCTGCTCCAGCATGTTAAGCAGAAACAGGTGTTTAAACACAGACCCTTGACTCCATGATGTATAACCACAAAGTGTCACCAGTTCCACCGCTTTAACTTGTGTTTAATCAGGTGGCGAGCCACCCTTGTGGTGGCAAGCCTTGATTAGATTTGGAGTCTGAGAGCCATTACAGGAGGCTGCAGCAGAATAATGACTTAAGTCTTTTTTCCTTTGCTTTCAGGAAGTGATCTATCTGGATGCTCCTGGCCTTAAATAACTTGGAGAGTCCTGGTGGTGAGCATTCATTTCATAGATCATAGCACCCTGCAGTGACCCTATCAATACTGATTTATGGTTCTGTAGGTAAAATTATGTTGTCAGTATACTGGGCATATTTACAGCTTGTGAGATGGGATCTTGCTTTCACTTTCATTTAGTAATTTAGTTGTCAGTTGTCTTGTGTAATTTTAGAGTAACAGCAAGTGTTGAAATGATCAAATCAACGATTCTGAATGAATTAACTGTTTTATCTACGTTTTAGGAGAAACTGAAAAAAACATTTGCTGGTTCCAGCCTCTCAAATGTGCAGAAGTGGATTAGGGACACTGTAAAAAAAAATTGAGTTCTGACATTTTTCTCAGAATTCTGAGTTTAAACTCAAATAAATTATTTACAGTGGCCCTAATCCTCTTCCATTTAAATGTGAATATTTGCTGCTATATCATTATAAAGTGAATATACTCAGGTTTTTTTGTTTGTTGATTTTGTTTTCCAACATTTCATTGACTCAGTGATGAATTTTTAAAAAACCAGCTCATCAATTGATCATGAGAATAATCATAAGTTTTTCATTTCAGAATGTTTTTTTTTTTGTTGTTGTTAAGTGGCCTTTAGGAACAATAGAAGGTTTTTAAGGCCTTGGTGAATCACAACCAATTAGGTGTCCTTGAGAATAATCACAGTGTGACAGCAAAAGCATCCTCAACAGTATTAATGTCAGTCATCTGTGTCTGTTAGCGACTGAGCGATTTCCTGGGATGTCTGTCATCAAGCTGCAGATAACTGGTGTGAATTATTTCCATTTATTTGTGGGTGGCACTTCAAGTATTGAAACCGGTGGTTGTAAATTGTTCTTTCTTTTCTAAGAATCACAAATACACTCATTAGTCTAGTTTTAATGGTTTGCAAGTTATTGAAAGCAACAGCAGATAGCCATTGAGGATCCATTATTCAATATCTAGTTAACTTTGTTCTAATTGTTTTATGGAGGTGGAGGGGACAATAACAACAGTTGTCGGCTGAGAAACATTGAGAGTCATGACCCTTGAACAAACACTTTGTGTTGTGGCTTTAAGTCAAAGGAATATCAAGGCTACTGTTAGGGTTTAGTCCCCCTCACCAGGAGGGTGAGGGAGAACTGAGATAGGACTCAAGATAGCCGACCCAGGTGCTAATAAAAAGGTGGTTTAATGGTGGGAAATGCACAGTAACAACAAAACAACGTATCTTAGTCCATGTACAGAAACCAGCAAAGTAGGGCAGAGATGGTGGAGGAGACCAGCACGACCAGGGGAGTGGACAGGCAGAAACGAGGAGAGCGGGAGGAACAGGACGGACAGGTGAATAGACAAACTAACCAGGAGGAGTGGAGAGACGTATAACACAACACATATAACCTACATACAGAATGAGATCCACAGCACAGGAGCTGTCAGCGTGGAAGTCAAACGACGTGCCACATACCATGACTATCGGTATGTTATGGGGTATACAAGTTAAGTAGTAATGCTCCGGCGATGACAGCGTCTGCCAGAGGTATAAATAAGGAAGACGGTAATCATCGGGATGCACCCCAGCTGTGCGCACCAACAAACGAGTCGCTAATTACTGAAAGCAACACAGCTGAGGTGCAGATCCTGCAGGATCAAGAGAGCAGAGGTGAGAAAGGCGGAAGAGAAGCAGGTCGTGCCGAGCGGACCTGACAGCTACTGGTGGTTTCTTAGTTTTCTATTATGGGATGTGGTATTGCTCATAGAGCCAGGGCAAAGATTCTAAAAAGGCCCATTGTAGGTCAGCAGCTCCTAGCCTACTGCTCACAAGCTCCCCAAGGGATTGTGAGATAAATCTGAAGGCCATGAGATGATTAACAGGACAAGGAAGCAGAAACACAAGACAATTTTACCACTTCATGCCTCTAAAAATTATTCAAATCAGTTTGGGAAAATGTTTCCTCATTAAAATGGACCTTGTCACTGACTTGTCATAGCAGGAAAAGCACAGCTGGAAATAATAACAGTGTTATGTTTAAATGTCCCAGTCAACCATGACAGTGACTTGTTATGCCAGGGAACTGAGAAGACTAAATGGGATGGAGCCATATTCATCTTATTATGTAGGAGACAGAATGTTCATTTTGTCCCCGGTAATAACTGGTGGGTGTGTTGATCTCAGCTGGGGGAAACCCAGCTTCAAAGGTTACTGTATCGACTCGACGCTCCAAAGTTTTTTCAGAAACTGAGTGGAAACTTTGGAGGAGTCAGGATGTGCAGTTCCCTGGGGTGACAGAAACACCCACGCTGAAAATATGAGCACTAACACGCAAGCATGTACGTAATGTACAGATACACTGGCAAAGAAAAGCAAGTGAATCCTTTGGAATTACCTTCATTTGTAAATAAATTTGTCTTAGAATATGGACAGATGTTCATATAAGTTACATTAATGAACAAACGAATAACACCAATAATTAATAACACAACAAATTACTGTATTGTTCTTGTCTATATTGAATACATCCTTCCACAGCCAATTCAGGGTCCAGCAAGACATGGCTGATCCTGGGTCAGATGGGGCGTTGGTTATAATGTTGGAGTGGCTGCTGCTCATGAGGGTTGTCATCTTCATGATCCATGCTTTTTTTGGGGTGCCCAAAAAAGCTTATAGAACACAACTGACACAAGTCTGTAGAGAAGTTGTTCTGGCAGAGGGGTGGGGCTGAGGTGGTGATTGGGGAATGATCAACAGGTGAGCAGATGGCAGAAACTGGTTTAAATGTCTGGGGACATCCGAAGGTGAAACTGTGATGTGGGTGAGGGCAGTGACTTGGGCAGCATGAGCAAAATAAACACATTTGGTACTGGTAATCTGTAATTCATGTGTACATCGCGGGTGGTGGGGGGATTACAGTGCAGCATCTTTAGCAGCCCTTCTGTAGTCTTCCATGACCCGCTGGTTATTCCTGTTAGCTTCCAGTGGTGGAAGAAGTGCTCAGATCCCTTATTTAAGTAAAAGTAAGAATACTATAGTGTAAAAATACTTTGTCACAAGTAAAATTCCTACACTCAAAATGTTACTTAAGTAAAATTACAAACATATTAGCATCAAAACATATTTATAATACTAAAGCAAAGGTACTCATTATGCAGAAGGTAAATGGTAAATGGTCTTATACACTGCAGCTGACTCAAAGTGCTTTCACACTATTTGGCCATTCACCCATAAATGTACTCAATTACTTTCCACCACTGATGTGCTCAGTGTGAACTTCAACAACAGCGCTCTGAGTTTTGATTAAATTGAAGCTGATAGGTTTCATGGACAGTTTCATTCTGTCCAGCAGAGTATAATACGTGGGGCAGTTCAGTGGATAAGCAGGTATAAACGCTATGCGGCATAAGACCCTGCAGCTGTCTATTCAGAAGTGATTTAGCGTCTGACATAGATGAGCCTTGTGGCACTAAAAGGCTCGTCCTGTTTAATGGGGTTCCTGTATGATGCAGCCTGGGCGAGGCAACCCCTCCCATTTTTGTACTGACATATAATCTTACTCACACACACAGATTTACACACCCGTCTACTGTACACCCATTCATTTTGTCCACTGTGTGGAATATTTATAGTGCACACAGACAGATAAACACACACACAGAGGTTCAAGCACATACAGTGTACTGTACAAACACACACACACACACGCTATCCTGTGCACTAATGAAAAGAAAGGAAATTGAGATGATGGTGCACTACAAACAGTTGTGTAATTGCTCTGGAGAAATGGCTCTTGTCAGATTCTGTCATCGATTGGTCTTTGCCGAAGACAACTCAGTGTGTGGGAGGAGGCAGTGATCATTAGTGGACTGACTGTGGTATCACTTTATTAACTCAATGAAGTGATACCAACCTTTCTGCTGTTGCTGAGGTTTCATTGGAAACTGAGTGAAAGCAGTAGCTGCTGTGAGAGTTTTGGGTTAATCACTGATATAAAATACACATTTGCACAGTGCTGTGCAGTTTAAAAGTAATTTACCAAAATCTCAGTAGTGTTAACTCATATGCATGGGTTCAAGTAATGTAAAGTGCTATGAGTTAATAAATTCTGGTGGTACCAAACGGATTACATAGGTTGATTCTTGATGGTCTGAAGTGAGCTGAAGCACAGTGGGAGTAGTGCCGGAGTCGGTGCTATCCAAACAACATTATGAATGAACAACCCAGTCGTGCGTCACTGTGTAGTATACATCCCTCCCCAGCAGATGGCTCCGCCTGCAAGTGCTTAGCTGGGAGTGTGGCAGTGGTGCTTGGGGGGTGGGGGGGCTATCGATTTGGCATTTTAAATATAGCATGCAATTTTCGAAAGTTTTTAAAAAATATTTATTGCTGGTGATTCTCGTCCACGGCCACCAGTTTGCTTTGCATCCTATTTAATTAATGACATCAATGCAAATTGGACATAGCAAATGATCCAAATGACTGGTGGATTTTGTGAATGGAGCACTTAGTGACTGAGGAATGACGTCAGTGCAAAGCCATATCCTATCCTTTATTAGTGAGATAGGACAGAGAGGAGGCATCCCATTGGATTGTGTAGCATCAAAGGGATGTGATTGGCTGCTGGTGGATGATTAAACACCTACACAGTCAATGCACAAATCCAAGTAGTGGGATATATAGGCTGGTGCATTGGCGCTGCATGCAACAGAATCAAGAGTTGGTCTGCAAGTTGAGAGAAAGTCAACTTATTGTTTTCAAAGAGAAACATCTATAAATATATATTTATTTATTTTTTTGCTGGGTGATTATCACTGAAGGTAAGTTTTTACTTTTAATTTTGTGTTGGGCGATGTGTTGGACTGGCAGTTTGACTCTAAATGTACCTGATATACTGTTGTCACACGTGTGTGGATCAGAGGCGATACGGACACAGAGTCACTGCATTAGACTGTGGTGACGTGATTGTGTTGGTAATGGGATTGGAGTGTGGTCACCGGGGCTGCCAGTGTCACCACCGCTCATTTTGTGAAGGTCTATTCAGCTACTTGAAGGCCAAAGACTGAGAAAGAGAAGGAGTAGAGAGAAAAAAGAAGGGACTCAATAATGAAAGAAGGTGAAGAAAAGAACAGCAAGAGGAAAAGGACAAAGAAAGAAGAGATGGACAAGAGGAACCTGTGAGAGAGAGAGAGAGAGAGAGAGAGAGAGAGCTGGTAGTTCATTACACTAATGCACTGGTCCCATAGGGAGTTGGCAAGCTTATAGCCCCCCTCCTTTTCTTTTTTTTGCTTTCTCTTTTTATCCCTCCCCTTCCAGCACTAGCAACCGCTACATGCATTGCTCAGCCCAGGACCCCCCCAAAACACACACACACTCCCACCTGCAGGCATGTTGCGCTCTGCAACCTGCTGCGTTCGACAAGAGAACTAGCCGTCCTGTGCTCTCGGCTGGATGTTGTGAGAGGAACAGAGCATTCTGCAGAAGAAGAGTGATGGAGGTTTTTATGATGTGGCTCATTTCTGAAGGGGTGTTATGTGGGGAAAGTAAAAGTAGGGATGTGCAACAGAGTTAAGCACAGACACTTTGAGATGTGTTGCGCTCGACTCTCTGGGAAGGGACAGAAAGCTTTTTCTTGTAACTTCCCTCTAATGGTACAAGAGGATCAGACATCTGAAAGTATATTTTCTAGATACATACTGATGAATCTTTAGGTTATTTGACAACTTACTTTAGTTGTGTGTGAGTAGAAACAGCAGCAGTTTTGCGCACAACAACCTGACAGCCATGTCTCTCTTGCTGTGTAGGGGACCATGGTTATGTTGAAGATCTCTGCTTTCCTCGTTGCCTACGCCCTGGTCATTTGCCAGATGTACTGCTCACAAGCTGCCCCTGCCAGGTGAGACATTCACATTTTACACTCCCAGCTCTCTTGTATCGTTCAGCAACTTGTAGAAAAGTAGAATGGGTTCCCAGTTTGTTAGAATACAAGCAACCAAAGAGAAGGAGTGAAGGGCTGACACTAAATTCATACTTCAGAAAATGTGATACTTTATTTTTACTGAGGAAATCGGGTAGAGAGTTCTTTTTTATATATATTTTCATTATTTTCTAAAAATTATAAAGTATTTTTAGTGGTGCTAAAAATATGAAGATATAGATATGGACTAAATATGCATGTAAGGGACAGGTAGTCAGAGGTGTGAGTCTGATACAGTTAGAGTACGATAATGTGTATGAACACATACTTTGGATGATTTTTACTGCTTAATTTTAATTTAGTTTAGCATTTGGCAGGATCAAATATGGGCTCAGTTGAGAACTGGTAAAAGTAGTCTTGAACCATAAACTTAAAAAATGTAAATTTCATAAATTTCCAGTTTGTTTGTTTTCCAGCTTAATGAAAGTTTATTTGTTAAATGTTGCCATGAAGCTATTGATTCAGTAATAAATCATGTACGTCTGCCACTCTCTCAGATGGGGCACTTTTCGCAGATTGTTTCCCCGCGTTGGTTGGGGGGCTTCCAACTCCGACGTCATCCCTATCGGAGTTGGTGACATCCCAGCCAACCCCCACGACCCCTCCTATCCATCCAAACATTCCGTCAGCACCCTACCCCACCCTAACACTCCCATACACAGCCTCCACAATTTCTTTTAACTGCAGGTGATAATTCTAGCAAAGGATTTATCACTCAATGCCTTTCTTCGTCCAACTCCTCTAACCCCTAAACGTTGGTGCTCACCCCTTTGCTGCAGACCGGGTTTAGAGTCCATGTCAGACCGAGTCACACTAACGGACTATGAGGCACGAAGGTTACTCAACGCCATTGTCAAGGAGTTTGTGCAGATGACAGCGGAGGAGCTGGAGCAGCAGGAAACTGAAGGAAACAGGTACAGATGTCTCTTCTGTATTTTAACCATTTTTAAAAAGCTGTTTAATATTTTCTCCCTGCACAGAAGCAGGAAGTGAAGGATTTCACTGACAGAATAGGAAGGTACCGGTTAAGCCAAACCTCTTTGGCCTAAATAAAAAGGTAAAATTGACAGCTCTGTCTGGGGCTACTGTACTCGCTCTCCTTTAACACTACTGACGATGTGTTTTTTTAGTGCCCCACCTCAGTCAGGTGTGGAGGTATGTACTTTTGTATGAACCAAAAGAGGGAAAAAACTATTATTTCCAAGAAAAGTTGTCCCTATTCTCTGTCATGACCCTCCTCCTGCATGGATGAGTTTGATTTTGACTTTGTTTGAACAGGCTACTATTTCCAGCCTGCCTGACGGGCATGTAAACACTGTCTGCCTAACAGAACAAAGAAGTGTGCATGATGTCAATTAAATGGAGTTGCATGACAGTGGGAAGCAACTGGTTTTTGTTTGTTCTGTGGGTGTAAAAGACGTGACAGGAGGGAACTGGCTGGGGGCGGGGGTAGGGATGGAGATGTGGAGCATGAGGGGACAGATCTTTGAATGATGGGAAGAGGGGAAAAGCATGATGTCGGAAGGGGGAATGTTTTTATTTTTACTTTTTGATACCTGTAATGGCATGAGCAGGAAGTGCATGTGAGAGAACAGGGTGGGTGAATGGAAGGAAAAGAAAAACTTATATAAAGTGTTACTTGCATGTTTTCCCATATCTATGAGCCTGTTCTCTGCATGTGTTTTGTGTGTCCCCTCCTCAACAGCATGGACAGGCCCCTAACCAAGCGCTGCTCCAACCTCAGCACCTGTGTGTTGGGCAAACTGTCTCAGGAGCTGCACAAGTTGCAGACGTTCCCTCGTACGAACGTGGGAGCGGGAACGCCCGGCAAGAAGCGCAGTGTGCCTGAGAGCGACAGCTATGCAAGCTACAGCGAGACGTTTGACAGCATCTAACCCCCTCCTCATCAACCTGCCCTTTCTTTTTGTTTTCATTTACTCCTCTCCTGTCCTCTTCCTCATCTCATCCCAGTTTCCTCCTTATTGTTTTTGGATTGACAAGTGCATGTTGACTTTACCTGCTTGATTGACATGAGAAGAATATGACCTTTAATCACATCCACCTTTTCAGTTCTTCCCTCTTTTCCCCTTGTTTGGCAAAGAATGAATTGTCCCTATCATTTCAGACAATCAGACTTACTTTTAATAAATGTTAATTAGGCACCAGTTCAGACATCCATCTTTGTGTACTGTATCATTTGATGGCGTTTCAAAGCCCCTGGAATTTAGGAGTTAAAAGAAATCACTTAATCAAATCATTAATAAATGATTCACTCATGCGACAGCATGTTTCTTGTTCAATAAATGTATTTTTTCTACCAGGAAGCCTTAGCTCATTTTCATTCTTAGGGATACTTTAAAACAGTCAGACTTATTTATGGACTTATTTGCAAATATGAACATAAAATGGACATAACTAGGGTTAACGAGCATCTCATACTGCCCAAGAAATGATCTGAGAAGCTTTCACCGAGTCCAAAGGTAAGACAAATGACAACCAGCAGAAAATATATGATTAAACCCTACATGCTTGATGTGTTTACCTTCTGTCTTCATGTGTTTCTGTGCTGTGACGTTAACACTGATTCAAATAAACAGTGTGCAGGGATATTGTGTGTGTGTCAGTGTTGTATGGATCAATGCCACAACAGATCTTGGCAATAACACCTGTCTGCTCTTGTGAAACAGCCTTACAGCGCAGAAACGAGCCTGCAACACGGCAACCTGTGTGACTCACCGCCTGGCGGACTTCCTCAGCCGGTCGGGAGGAATGGGCAAGAGTAACTTCGTCCCCACCAACGTCGGTGCCAAGGCCTTTGGCAGGCGGAGGAGAAGCATCCAGATGTGAGCACTCCAAAACCTTCATGGAAATGGTAAATAAAGACTCCTTTTCCTCTTCTGTTTGTTTTTTTGACTCTCATTTCTCCTGTTTCTTCCTTTTGTTTTTGTTTGGCATTTAGAATTCAGCCTATCAAAAAAAGGATTTCTCCATAAACTAATTAAAGGATTTATCTTAGAAAAATAAAAGCAGAATTATTAAAAGTTAGACAATAATACCTAACTTGACTTTTGACTAAATAATTTCTTATTGTTCTTTGAATGCCAAGCTTTACATTTACATTTCTTTTCTTTTTCTTTTTCTCTTCCAGAGGTTGACAAGAAAACATCAGAGAAAAACTGAGAACAAAAATCAACAAAAACAAAATTAAGCAGAAAATAAAAACTGAACTGGCCCTTTATCCACATTTCCATCTTGTTAGTTAAATCTTTTGCTTTTGGCAAATAAGAGAAAAACAAACAGAAAAAAGCACTTTAGTTTACATAGATGAACAAATGAATTCTTGAAGAAAAGAGCATCCTTATAATTTCTCTTTTTTATACACGTCTATCACTGGGAAATAAAATCAAAACAGCAGTGGTCACCACCTTTCCCCCCTCGTTACAGCACATTCCTCCCATGCCACCATCCTCACTTGAGAGCCATACTTCAACATTTTCCATAATCCCCTTTCCTTCCAAGGCTACCCTGTTTTCCTTCTGTGTGCCAGAGGGACGCCATTAAAATCCCGCCTACCCAAGTACCCCCCCGCAACGGCTGTTGTCTTGTGCCTTGATGTAGAACAATTTACATGAACATGATTGTACAGTTCTGTTTTGAGACGATAAAGAAGACCCGAGCGAGGATGAAGAGAACGAAGACAGATTAATATTGTAAACAATATTGTGAAAACTAATTTCAGCAAGATTAAAATGTATTTTAGATACACTCGGGTTTGGGGTACTTGTGTTGTTCTTCAGAGGTTTTTAAGCATTTAGGTGTAGAAAGAGGCTGAAGGATTGAGAGGTGTGAAAGCTTATGTTTGTTCAATAATTGCTGGAATATTGATAAACACTGTCCATATATTATAAATGATAAGTAATAAGTAGAACTTCTCAGAAATGGTGTGGTTTGTAATTCAATGGGTAGAAATGTGACTGAAAATTAGTAGCACACATCTATACTTTGGTAAAAAACTGAAAATCAAATTGACATTCATACATTCTCCTGTTGCACAGTTTGGGTCATTTTGTATGCAGCTACAGTCTGCAGGTGTAAACACATCCGTTTCATCGGCAGTATACTTCTGACTCACACCACAGCAGCATGGATATGTTGAGATACGTGATGATAAAAGAAAAAAACTGCATGGGTAATTGCTTAATAAAAGGCAGCCAAACCTGCAGTCAGACTTGTTCTTCTTTAGCTCCAACTGAGGTAAATGCACACCACCCAGTTCATTCAGAATTGGAATATTATCCATAAATTATGTATTCAACGCTAAATACAAGTGCAAACATTACACAGGAGATTTGCATCAATGCAGGGACTGCACGTGTTCTTTCCTATTTCTGATACAGCTTACAGAATGAATACAGTGTTCAATTATTCTTTACATTTTTAATGATCAAATGTTCAGTCATACACTGGACAACTGAACATTTTGGGGTTCTCTTGTTTTTACAGCAGTGCTCCAATAGGTGGCAACGTAACAATCTTGACATGTTTCAGTGGAGCTCAGCAGGATCTCATAGCCCTGACTCAGGTCACAAACACACACATACACACAAAAACCCATCTCCACTGGTGATAAATGTAAAGTCTTGGCCACCAGATTTTTCTGCCACCTCAATAGGTGTTCTCGGGCTGCTGTATTTTGTTCATTTGCACTCTATCGCTATCTCCAAACAGTGAAAAAGAAAATGACAAGGACACAAGTGATAGCAGGTGTTGATCTTAGAGACATAGAAGGCATTGAGGTGTAAAACAATGACCTCTTGAATGCTCCTACATGCATATCATGTATCATCTTCCACCGATGCTTCATAACAAGGATGTGTGGCTTTGATTAATGACAGATGATAAACTGCCTTTCAGAAGAGGACGACTCCCTGCTGCTGAAACACAAAACTACTAAAGGTTGTGAGCTCAAATCCTGGTCCAGCTGAACAAATTCAGGCATGATAAATCATAAATGCTCATCTTTTCTGTTATACTAGCACATAGCAAAGCCAGTGTTCACCAGTAAAAGACTGATTATACATGAAATTATGTGTACTATGAGGTAAGCACTAAGTAAAAGTTACAAAGGAAACCACAATAAACTAACCAAAGAAATGGTGGAACATCAGTACTGACAAATAAAACATTGATGTATTTAGAAAGTAAATCATAATAACTGCACAAACTGGAACAGATAAATATTCAGATACATAATTGCATAGTTTCATGTTGTATTTCCCAACAATAACACACTCTGTACAGTATGTACTGCCAATGGTTTGTAAAGTATTTGAGGTGCAGTGTTTCCAGAAAATTCACAGAAAACTGAAAAAGAACTTGCAAAGAGGATAAAAAGGCCCTTCAGTTATGGATGACAAATATGGGATGTAAGTTTGGAATAATGAGCCAATTCATTGAGGGTGAAAGTAAAAAAACCGGATACATTTGATCCTATTTGGTTGCATGGATGAGTGCCAGCAGTGCACAAGAGCAAATAAAGAATATTTGTCACTGTGTTTACTAAGCACACAAGAGCTATGAGTACTACAAAAAAATAGATGTATTTTTGTGAAATATTTGATTTAGTTTAGAAGAATATGTGAATACACGGTTAATATCAACACTAGGCATGCCGTGTCCACACTATACTGTACTGTAGATACTTAAAGCAATGGCTGATTTCTTATAAAGCACCTGTTTGACTGGGTGACTTATTGATTCACACATTAGAGGATGTTCATGACATATATGTGAAGTTATGCTATTGCAGTATGAACAGAAAAGGGGATTTATAGTACTACATTCACCCACAAGCCTTCAGACCCTCATTATGAGTTGTATTTGCAGGGTTTCCACACATTCTCTCTGTATCTGTCTGTTTGGCTGGAGAAAATCGTGCTGAAATCCATATGGAAATTTTCTTTGCATGACCAAGGAGGAAAAAAAACACCCCCACATTGTTATAATTGAGGGGGACAGGAGGTTGAGGGCTGATTTGTGAGTCTGTTTGGTTTCAAGCTTCTTTCTCAGCTGTAATCTAACAATCCCACAATGCCAATGAGAAAATCAGTCCTAATGGCACACAGCTGCTTTGAATGGGGCTCTTCCAATTGGAAATTAGATGGTTCAAATAAGAGAAACCGAGAAGTAAGCCCCCATCTTCCTGGAGAAGACGTGCCACTAGTCCAGCTCTCAGAAATGTACCCCACAAACTCAATTCAAGACCTGAGGCTTTGGAAGATGCTACTTTTGAATGTTTTAATGAACAGTTCTGGGAAATAAAGACATCATGTCTGGGCTAACCTCTCCTCCATTAGCTTCTGTAACTCAGTGCACTTTATCATCTGATGTTTCTTTCATCATTCTTTCTGAAAAAAGAAATGAAGCGTATGCCTTTCTTTCATTATTCTCAGATGCATCCACAGCAGTTGTTATTACAGTAGAGATGTGAACATCTGTGATTAAAAAAAAGGTTAACAATGAATATTCCCAGGGTATGAAAACTCAGGATCCAGTAAACATCTAATCTGGGAACTAATGGGCAGTGGGTTTATGGGAATCTCTAAAAACAGAAATACTGATTAAAAATGTTATTAAATAGTTTTTAAATAGTTGTCCAAATCTAGGCATATGAAGAAAAGCACTTGGAAGAACTGTATGTTCTAAGACTAGATTTTACTGCTATTGTTCTGAAGGACATACCAAGCCATAGCCAGCAGGTGGCTATATTAAAGATTCTCTCTGAAAACATTCACTTTTAACCTCTGTAGAGGGCATCAACACACATTTGGCCTTTGCCCCTCATTGTGAATTCAAATGAGGGGCAAATGTACCTCAGCACCTTAACCCCCCACCCCATCACCTACATAGGCCAGCAAAACCACTCTGTTGGGATGAGATGCAACAAGAGTTAAAACTTGAAGATACATTTTATGTTTGCACCTTATTCACACCTAGACTCTGGGACTTGAGGTGGGATTGATGGGTCTTTATTCCATCTAATTTTCAGTGTCTAAGGCACAAAGTCAGAATGGTGGGCCATTTTTGTCCCGCCTTGGGAGGTAGTGGCAGAGGAAAAACAGAAAGACACACTCTCTATAGAAAGGGCGAGCCGGCAGTATTAGTCTTCTTCTTCGTCGTCGTCGTCTTTTTCTTCTTCTGCTGCTTCTTCGTCTTCTGTTGCTGCTTCTTCTTCTGTTGTTTATACGCGGTTGGCAAACAGAGAGCCGGCAGTCTGGAATCAAGTGCTTCCACCGTTACGTTTTGTCTTGTGTAGACTACCAGCGCAAAGTTCACGTCACAGAGTAACGTCACGTCGCGCCTCTGGTTCGGAATGCTGGCCAGCTGTCTGAATTCACAGGCAGGCTCGCGATTAGCTTAGCTTGATCTGTATGAACAGCTCATGTTGTTCATCAGAATATGGCATAAGCGGACATTTCAGAATGCTAAGTGAACATAGTGCCTGTGGAGCTAGCAGCCCCCTTCACATGATCACGTGGTAATATTTTACTCAAAAATATGTTGTAACATTAACTGCAACAACCTAGACCAGTTGAATATTGTTCTTAATGTGAACCAGCCAATTGCCATTTATATTTTCTGATTCCTTCCTTATTTTTTATAACTCCCTATTTTTCCATAAAGTAGTCATTTCCAAGGCTGCCATGAAACCAGACACCCAGGAGCAGTCATGGTGAAGGTCCAGAAACAACACAAGGTTGACCCGAGGTTTTCTCACCTTCCCCAGTTCCCCTTTCTGTCTCATGCAACTGTTCCTGGGAAGGTAAACACCCTTTCACTGTGTCAGAAATGAGATTTCATTCTGCTGCCACTGCAGTTCCTTCATCTGGCCTGCTGTTCTGCCCCTCCTTCTCCCTCTCTCTCTCTCTCTCTTCTCCTCCTCTCCCTCCTTTTGCTTCCACATCTGGAACCCAGACCCTCATTTATTTATGTGGTCTGTGTTGTTTCATCTCTTTTTAAGTCTTATTTAAAAGTCCTTTACCTTGTCTTGTTGGCAGTTTCTCTCTATCTGCTGAGGTCTGCAATTACATCTCACCATAACTGGTCACTCTGCAATTACATGCTCCACCACAGACCCCTCCACCCCACCCCACCCCACCCCAAACAGCACCACTGCTCATATGGCAGACCGAAATAGAATAGTTTCATGTCTGTTTGGATGGCAGCCCAGCTGAAACTATGCTCTGCCGCTTGACTGACAGTGGGACTTGGGCTTTTTCTCCCTAAGAAAAACCTTTAAGGCTAGTTCCATTTAGACTTTGAGCAGTCTTACTCCAGCAGGCTCCGGTGGTAGTTGGCCCAAGCGAGCTCCAACACAGTCAGAGTGAATGAAAGAGAAGACAGAGAGACAGTGTGCGGTGAAGAAGACTAGAACCGGGGGCTCTAACTATGAACTCTCCTGAGAACACTTAACCTTTCAGTCGCTGTCCAAAAGTGCGGGTAAGTTTGGCAACCAGTTCAGTCTAATGTCAATTTTTGGGAATGTGTGAAATGATGCTGAGGAACTTTAATTAAAACTTGGATAACAAAATGAGTCTGATAACTTTAGCATGTGAGTAGTGCAGCATGTAGCACCTGATTTAGAGTAAATACAAAACTGCAAAGGTGCAGTATATCCCTGACAAACCTTTTAGGCAAGTGCAGTTGGATCACCTTGGTTGATTTATCTTAAGGAATGTGAAAACCCTTTTTCTCATGAAAGTGTTTTTGACCAATGTCCAAAAATGTTTTTTTTTATTAATGCATAAACATGGAAGATTTACTAAAGATGTCAGAAACATTCTAAGTTAAAACCTTCTGATTTAACATGGCAGCAGTATTGATCCTCTAGACAGCTAGATTCTTGGGGGGGTTTAACAGGTGGATGAGCCCCTCTGGAGACGGGTACTTTTTAATTCCAAAAATTCTTTTGACATGTTACATTTGACAGTATTAAAATGTTTAGAGGCATAAATAGCAATATATGGTGTCATTGTGAGAATGTAAAGCACCACTTTGCCCGAGAGCCACTAGCTAGTCACTCTTATCTGCTTTCTTTTTGGGGATCGTTCAGGTATATTATAATGCAAATTTTCCTTCACTTGCTCAGTTTTCACTGTAACATTCCTGAGAGTTCATAGACTTAGCAATGAGGTATTTGTTAGCATTTGACCTCTGGGACTTATGGTACATTAAAGTTGCAAAAAAGCATCTTGGTGGTTAACATGAACCACACATGCAGGTGTGGCCCTCACTGTGCTGTCACACTGTTTACTTAGGTTTTTTCTCAGTGGGCAGGGATTCTCAGGGCTTCTCATCTCTCTTCAGCCTCTTCCCAACACTCATTCTCTTGAGATGTTAAAGGAGCGCCTTGTCACTACAATGACAAGCTCTCTGGTTGTGGCTGAACTTTGTGACCACAGCTAAAATTGGAAACATGGAGCTGCACATAGCTCTATATGAGTCAGATTCTTGAGGACCAAGTGCCAAAGCATTGTGTCCTCAGACTCTCCTGGTTACACTGAACTGGCTTTAAGTTCAACATGAGAACTTCCTTATAGTTGCTGATAACAAGCCAATGTATGCGTGAGGGGTGTCCAACGCTAAGGTCCCATAGTTGGAGTTGGATGTGGCTAAGTATTCATAAGTCTCTATTAACGTCTTCTTTCTTCTGGAGAAGGTAGTCTCCTTCTTTGGCCACTGCTATTTTATTCTATGCCTCCACTTTGTGTCTGTGTGGCCTTGTTGGAGAAAGGGCCAGGTCATTTTGGTTCTCCTCCCACAAGTCTGGTGTTTCCCAGAAACTATTCCTCACACAGCTTGGCCTGTCCTCCCACAGTGTCAATCCAGATGCCAACCAGTTGTTTTTTCCTCCAAGAAAACAGGTGTTACAGTTCTTTTCTTTCATATATTTTTCTGGTATCTCAAATTTATCCAAACCTTTTTTTTATTAACAAAGTGATCTAATTTATTTGTCATTCCTCCTTTGCCCTCCTGTCTACAAAGTGTCACTAAGTCAAGTCACTGAAGCCCTGTCACTAGTGCTCTTCTAGTGCCACCATCAGTGTTTATGTGTGTATGAATGAAAGGCACATTGCAAAGCCCTTCGCTATAAACGTCATATATAAAAACACACTACCGTTACTAGTCCATTTAAATGATACTTAAAAATTTATGAATTTGAAGAACAATTTCCTGAAGCGTAGCTGGTATCGCAAAAAAATTGCCAACAGTTACTCAGCCACATCATTTAAGAAAGATTGATGTTCAGAATAAAAGTTGTACTGACACAGCTGACATTTTATCAGCCCAAGCCTCTTAAAAGCATGGCACTTTGTGAAATGCCACAGATTTATCTGATGCCGTCATTACACTGCTACCGGGAACCGTACCATTCACAAACTGTACTGGGGTTTGCATGTTTCCATTGCCTCCAAAACGGACCATGAAACCGGGCTGAAAAGTGTAATAAATGGCCCTCCTCAGAAGCAGGTCCTAGAGTGTTCTACTTCTCCAACCTGGCCGTCTACATCACTACATTCTTATTGGCAGAGAGAAAACCTGAGCAACAGGAAGCGTCTCAGTCTAAGAAAGACCCTCCCACTTTATAAAAAAAAAGAAGGAGATGGCATCACATTATGAAGAAATAAATAAAGCCAGTCCATCCATGTTTGATGAAATCATGTTTGCCCTGTTGCATACCTACTGTTGATGTGCGTTCTGGTTGTGCAGAAGATGGTACCATGACGTACTCCGCAAGAATGATGCTCATGCTGTGCAGTGGAAACACAAATGAGTGTTGGGGCCAGGCAGCCTGGGCCAATAACTGACCAGCTGGCCTGAGTACAGGGCAGTTCCTGGTGGGGGTGGATTGACCGCATAAGAGTATACTGTTGAGTATGTCAGGGAGTGTTCTCTACAGACAGTGTTAGATCCTGTCTCTGCTCTTGTTCAGCTCTGCTGGGTACAAGCAAAATCATTTTTATCAGTGCTTCACTGTAGAGAAACCAAACAGGTAAACCAGGTAGCTGTGTGACAAACTTAGAAAATACATCTTTATGGCCATAGCAACATCATTGTCTGTGGCTGCTACTTTGGCTTGCAGACCTGTGACCCTGGCGGAGTACAGACATCTTCCCCAGCACTGAGTCAGCTGCTTGTCTCTGACATTAATCAAAGGATCAGTTTTTATGGCTTTCAAACAGCTGGATCAAAGAAACTGTGTCTGCAAAGCCTGCTGTTAATTCAAACATGTGTTCATCCAAGGAATGAACACATAGCACATATTTTGCATAAATGAATCAGCAAACCTGGGGTAGATAGGGACAAAAAGCTGGAACCCAAACCTTCTTCATTATGGACAGTGCACATGTGTCATGTGTCTCTGATGCTGCTTCACTGTGAGTAACAGTTACTGCTGACAAATCACCGCAATAGCTTTCGTGACTCAGTAGAGGCTCCCTCTTCAAAGTGTGGACTCAATTAGGAGAGTGCAGGTATAAACTGATGCTGCTTCACTGTGAGTAACAGTTACTGCTGACAAATCACCGCAATAGCTTTCGTGACTCAGTAGAGGCTCCCTCTTCAAAGTGTGGACTCCATTAGGAGAGTGCAGGTATAAATTTTTGCGTAGGTAGGCCCAATATGGCAGCCACTGTGGGCCCAAGGCTAGGGGATAAATCAATATCAGACTGGTTGAATTAAGGCTTCAGCTTGGAGCTTCTCTTGTGTTGACATCTTCTTTCTTTCCATCTCCATACGGTAATTGGAGGGAGGTCATGGCTTTCCGGGCTTCAGTCTGTTTATCAGTAGGCTGCCATCTACTGTATGTGTTCTACAGCCCTTGTTACGGCTCATTGAAGAGATCATGAGAGAAAATGGAGGCTTCAGTAGTGGTGCACTTCTGTTTGCTATGTGATGCACAGAAGGCAGGGAGGTCACTGCTCCCTCCTCCATGTGAAAATGTCTCAATACTGTTTAGAGCACCTTAGGGGAGTGTTGAGGAGTCACAGCTCCTCTCTAGTGGTGTCCTTTTCTGTTTGGGTAACCCTGAACGATCACTACTTCTGCCTATGACTCAAAGAGCTTCATACGTCAACAACAGTAACTCAGGGGAGGCCTTGCTGAAATGAAAGTGATTATAAGATCTAAAATGTTCATTTTCACTCAGATGTTTTAACTTACAGGACATTTTACTACTTTGGTTTAAATGAAAGCCCTAAAGTACATGTACAGTATAAAAACATGACTTCATTTAGCAACAAATGATGATTTTCATTATCAATTTTTTCCTTATTGTTTGTCTTTTGCTGTCCTTTTTGATTTTAACATTTGCAAAGTTGTGTGTGCTGTAGGGTCAGCATTCACTGACAGCAAAAATTCTGTCAGAGTAGGTGTTATGCCTTTAAATGATGTGTATCTCATGTTGAAATCACACCTTTTAGCTGTTTACTTTTAAGAATGTTCTGTATGTCTTAAATGAGACATGGCAGACTGTTCTCCACATCTAATTATCCAGAAAACACTCACATGCCCAAAATGATAAAAAATAGCCCAGAAAGGCTTTTTGAAGTGTGTGCTCACTGGGCTCCTCTGGAGTTTTTCTTGCATACCTTGCAACTTTTTGCCTCTGATATTTACTTATCACACTGACCCCATGTGTGTCCCATTTACCCTATGACTTAAGTTCTGTGATGGAACAGTGGGAGGAAAGTACCTTGAAAAATTCCACCCTGCCCTGATGCTGTGCCTGTGTTCCTTGGCTAAGATGCAGGCGGTGGAGCT